TCCAAATATCTTCAACACTTCCTTGAAACACCAAAGAAGAATGCTGAGCCTCTCTTGTGGCCAACTCGATGTCACTGTCACTAATAGTCACAAATGTGTGATTTCAGAGACTCATACAGCCTCATTTTGTGTGGCTTGCCAATCTCTGTTGTGATAGCTTCAAGTCATCTTTTTCTAAACATTTTTCAAATTTTTTATTTGTTTATATGTATGTATGCATACATACACTCATATATATAATTTTGTCCATATGTATGTGCACATATGTACTTGTTAAAGTGTGAGTGGAAGCCAACAGTTATCTTCCTCAGTCACTTTATCTTATTTTTTTTGAGACAGGGTCTCCAATCCAACACATAGCTCATCATTTCAGCTGGCGAGTGAACACCCAGAATATGCCTGTCTTTGTCCCCCAACACTGAAGTTACAGCCATATACCATTAAACCAAGCTTTTTTGTTGGTTCTGTGGATCTGAACTTAAGTCCCTATTTCTACTTAGCAGCATTACTCCTGGGCTCCCTCCCTAGCCCTCAGGTAACCTTTGCACAGCTTTTTCTAGTGGACAATGGCCTTGGTTACTATGTGTTTTGAGTTGTTTTTAGGCTGTTTATGTAATTTTATCTCCTCTATATTACCTACCAACATATTTGCTGTCAACAGTCACATTTTTTTTCTTGTTTGTGACAGCCTTTTAAACGGGACTTTTTAAATCCAGAAATGCATGCATAACAACCCCGAAGCACTTGGCAAAGGTTTTGCGTGAACCTTTTCTGGGCCTTGTATGGGTCTTGAGCCTAAATTTTCCTCACTATAGCTTTTTGTTAATCAACCACTCTGAAACAGGGAGGATGGCGTTCACTGTTGTTATCTGAAATTCTCAGAAGTGTTTTGGCCCAGGGAGCTGTTTGGGATGATGGAGACATCTGGTGGCCTATCCATATTGCAAGATTACTGAGAAATTGAGAGTTAGTTTTATAGGGATTCTATATATGGAAGTCATTGTTTTCTTTATTTAAAAATGACTGTGAGATTTCAGGAAGATGATGGCTGATGGCAATATAAATGTGTGTACCCAGCAATTTGGAGTGTTAGCCCTCTTCCCTAGAGTAGTGACAGGACTTTGCTGGTGGAAGCCGTAAGGCATGGTGTAGCCATCACAGAGAGGAAGATGCTTTTTACCCCACTCCTTCCTCCGCAGCTTCCTTCTATCAAGGCAGCTTGAGGCATTATGGTGTCACAAGAAATCTCCTGTAAAGTCACATTTGACAACATGCTCACTGACAAACCAGGTCTCACTTTGGACAGTTGGGTCATTTTGCATAGATCACAGATTCTATATGTCTTCCTATTAAATATCATCTGGTTACCATTGTCTCCTGCTTGTTGTTGATGATATCATAGAAGTCGCTCTCTTGCGTGTCTCATCTGCCTTTCCATCCTGGCTGGTTACATCTTCCATTGAATAATTTCAGGGCAGGGCAGCACAAGGCAAGACAAGAGGGAAGGCTCTTTTGATGTCCCATCAGGCATCCTTCACTCTGCCAAGGCTTCACTCATCAGCTTTCCTGGATGGGCTGTTCAGGCATACGTGAGTTCACTTAGATGCCTTGACCATTGATGGAGGCTTCAGGAGCTCTGTGGTCAGTATTCATCTCAGAGTCAGCGCCCTGCTTCATGGTCTCATCTGTAGGCAGCCTGATGTAATGCACATGGATCCGTGCTGACTCAGGCAGACACATTTTTCTTGTGATTATTGCCTAAACAATACAGTAGGACAGCGACTTGCCCAGCACTTGTATCACTCAGAGATGAGGGAAAGCATGTGAGAGATGCTCACAGGTTCTGTGCAAGCACTACCACTCTATTACAAGGGACTTGGGGGTTTCTTGGATTTGGTGTTGTGATAGTCTGTTTACTTTGTTAGATTATTGACTCTTTTTCATCTCATAAAACCAAAGCTGTATCAATTAAACAGCAGCCCCTTGTTCCTGTTTGCTCCAGCCCCCAAGAGCCAGCATTTTTTCTGTCCCTATAGATTTGTCTATTATCTTGAATGCATCCTGTGACTGGAACCCTGTAGTCCTGTCTTCCTAATGACTAACTTTACTTATCAAATCCTTGAGGGTCCCCTCATGTTGCAACATGGGTCAGTGTCTCCTTTCAAAGAAGAATGTTGCTCCATGGTGTGTTTTTATCATAGGGTCACTAGAGCCTTTGACTTCATTTGGTCCTCAGTCTCCCTGTCTGTCTAGGATGGGGGTGGGGTGAGAACCAGGCCACAAACTGGGTACTGAATTCTGTTTCTTTACCTCTAAATCTGGGGTCTGAGGGCCAGGACTGAAGCTATTGGTGACTTTCTTGGGACTGTTGTTGGTGTCACCTAAGGAGTGTGGATTTGTCACTTTTATACTCTACAGGTGTCACCGGAGTCACAGAGCACCTACCTCATGAGCAAGTCCTATTCTGTGGCAGACTAGCTTCTCTAGGGTAGCCCGGCACAATGGCTGCTTAAGGCTGAGCCTGCGGCTATGACTTCTTCCCAGTCCCCAAGCCTCTGTGGGACTTTCAGCCTGTGTGTGGCCCTGGGCTCCTGCCACCTGGCCTCCCTCTGACTTACTGAGCCATCTCCCATCTGTTCTCTTTTAACCATTCATTAACAAAGAAGGTTTCTGGTCTAAATGATGTTTATGATCAACATAGAAAAGTGTAAACATTTCAAATGGAAAAAACTCACAAATTCTTTGCCATCTTTCTTCCCAAAGGGATCACCATTCTTAACATTTTGTTCTCCTCACAGCCTTGGTTTTCTTAAACAAGTGCCTTGTTGGAAAGGGGACTTGGAGAGGAGAAGGCCTCCTGGGGAAGGTCCCAGATGATGGTGTCAACACATGCACACATGCGTGTGCACACACAAACACACACATGCACATACATGCTAGTGTTCGTGCACATACAAACACACTCAAATGCACATACACATATACACATGCACACACATATTTAAGTGCACACATACACATGCACACACACATGGACACATACATGTACACACTCAAGTGTGCACATGCACACACATACATACACACATACACACTCAAGTGTGTACATGCACACATACATGCATACACACATACACACACCTGAGCGCGCACGCACACACACACACATACACATGCATACACACACACACACACACCCTTTCCAGCAGAAGCAGAGCCTCTGCTGTGACGTCTCATTATGACTCTGGGTCAGCACACCTCTTTGTCTGTGTGAAGCCACCGGGAACAGGGAACACTCAGGACTCAGGGCTTGATCAAATGCACCTCAGGTTCAATGCCAGCCAAGCAGTCAGCAGTCAGGGTTGGGAAAACTGTTCTTCGAATTCCCTTGTGTACTTGACCTTGGTGATATCTCTTCCCCTTCTCATCTTGGTAGTTGCTACCTGTGTATCAAGTCCTCACTGGAAAATCAAGGTGGGAATCCATGGCTGCATTTCAGCCATTGTGTTAAGGCATCAGAAGGGCCTGCTCCCACCTCTGTAAGGTATGGAGCCTCTGACTCCTTAGCCGGAGAGGGCAAAGAGGAATATTTAACCCTCTCAGGACCATATTGGTGATGAGAGGGGATGGTGAGTTGGGCTGAGGAGACCGTCTTGCTGCTTTTGAGCAGGATGGGCAATCATGGGCAGACTGGTTGAATATGCTGAAGAGGAGGAGAGGGGGTTGCCTGGCCCTAGCAGTGAGAGGCCAAGCATGTCCTTGGGAAGGGAGGGTGGAGGCCTTCCACTGTATGTAGAACTGACACTGCTTAGCTCTGTCCCTCCCCCTCCCCCAAGAGGCTGGTCTCTGTGAGACACGGGTCTGCAGGGCTGTGAAGGCAAAGAGGGCACTGGCATTGTATCAGGATTAGTGCTCTGAGGTGGTCTGAAGTGGGGGACTTCCAAACCATGCTCAGACAGGAGAAAATCATGTTACAGACACTTGTGGGCATGTCCAAGATGGCAGACAAATCAGGGACACAGGGGACTCTATACTTTCCGGGCTTCTCAGCTCTGGCTTGGACCTCTTCAGGAATTCTCTTGCACCGTGTGTCTCATGTTCGTTAGTCAAGAGGCAACACTTGAGTAAGAATAAGAATCCAGGTCACAAGTGTGTGCTCAGTGTATTTCCAACAACTGCTTCAGAGCCCCAGGCCTCAGGCCTTTCAGCCCTTGGGCCATAAGCAAGAGCCAACAGTTCTTTCCATAGAATGGCTGGATCCAAATGACCTTAGTAAGCACTGTATTTTCTCAGCAACATCAAAGGCATTTGGAAAGGATTCTTACAACTGGAGAGACCATCAGTTTAAACAGCTAGCACCCCTTTGTAATGAGCTGCTGCACACGGTGAGCCTTGCTCAGCTTCTCCCACACACCAGGTAGAGAACAAAACTACTCTTATTTTATGCCCCATGTGGTCTCCCCTCCCCCACCCCCGTGTGGTCCCTGCAAGGTCATGCTTCACAAAGATTTGATCTTCTTGAATGGAATGTGTTCTGGTCTCACAGTGAATCCAGGAGTGGTTTTGAGCTAGCACATTGTTTGGCACCTGGCAGAGTGGCTGGGTACTCAGCAACACCTCACGGTTAAGGATGTCTTAGCACACAGTTTGGGGGTGTGGGATAACTTCATCAGACCATCATAACAGTCTTGTGATATATACGTATCATTCCATTTTGCCCAAGTAGAAGCCAACATTCAGAGAAGTTGGTATGTTGGACTAAGACAACATGGATGGCTGTCGAAAGGACCATGGCTGACCAAGTCTCCCTGCTGCCATGACTGTCCTTTGGATTACCAACTGGATGCCTTAAGCCATGCCTCTCTGGGGACCTGTGACTTTGTCTTCTGACTAGTATCTAAAACCAAAGAAAATCAGTGTCCCTCTTTTGGGGCCCAGCCCCACCCCTAGCCCTAAGAAACAGGGTATGGACATTGATAGTGTTGTTTTCCTTCCTCTAGGGGGCCCACTGTGCTCTTGCTGTGTCCCAGACCCTATGGGGCTTTCCTTCCTCCCCACTTATGGCTGCCAGAGTAACCGCACCGCCAGCGTGGCTGCCCTGCGCATGAAGGCCCGCGAGCATTCAGAAGCTGTCCTTCAGTCTGCCAACCTTCTGCCATCCACCAGCAGCAGCCCGGGCCCTGCCTCCAAGCAGGTGCCTCCAGAAAGCAGCCAGGACAAGACCTCCCCAACCAAGGAACAGAGCGAGGGAGAGAAGAGCGTATGAGGGTCCAGAGTACCCGGCTGGGAGCAGCCTCAGCCCTGCCATCCTCTGAACCACAAGGAGTAGCTGCCTCCTCATGGATCTGGCAGGGAAGGGGAGACCTGAAGCTGGTTGAGACCTGGAGAGTCCTTCTAGAATTCTGCTGGTAGGCTGTGTTGTTCTGGCTTTTTCTTTGGTGACATTTTCCGATGGCTCTTAGTGACTTTGGACACCGCTCTGTGATGAGGCCCCTGTTTTTTGTTTGTTTGTTTGTTTTTGTCTTGTTTTGCTTTGTTTTGTTTGTTTTCCAGGCTAAGCAGCCTTGGAGCAAAGCAGATTAGTTCTTCCCACCAACCTTCTTGAGCTATTTGGGAAGGTCTTGTCAATTACAAGGACTATGGCATGGTTCGTCCCTGAAAGATGCCAAGAAGTAACATCTCATGACAGGAAATGAGACAGTCACTCCCATATTGCTTAAGAACCACAGAACTGGTGGACTATCAACCAGTTCTCACTCCCTTCAGCCAAGACTGGCAACAATCCCTTTTCTCTTGTTTAAAGGAATTAGCTGAGGTTTTGGTTAGAAAGTGACAAGATATGAGCTGAGGACACAGCGGTCCTGACCCTAGCAGATTTCCGTGGGCGCATCTGACCTGGTCCAGTCAGACAGATTGTCAGTTATGTGCCCCCCTCCCGGAGGGGGGCTGCAATCCTGATACTGTGTGTGTGTGGAGCAAATGTAGGTTCCCTGCAATTAGAGTGTCCACTTGCAGGCCTCGCCTCTCTTCAGAAGAGTGATGGGAAATTCACCAATCAGAATGTAGCTTTGTGGCCCATGAACGAACAAGAGTCCCTGAAGGGGGAGGAAATCCTTAAGATCCCTGAAATACTTATGCCCAGACGAACTGCCCTTCTTCATTTCCCCCATATGTAGAGAGGGCGATGAGTCAGGACACCCCGGAAGATGACTCCGTGTGGTGGAAGAGAACGGAGTCCAAAGGGCCAAATTTCATAGAGATTTCTGCCTCAGTCTAGTGTGGCTGTGTCCTTTCATGTGAATGGTGACCTCGGAGCGATCAAAGGGAGATGTGCAATAGCATGAACCCGGTTCCTGGTCCGGTCCTGGAAGAGTTGTGGTCGTTGGTGGCTTTTGCTGATGATGTTGCCACGCAAACGGTTATTGCTTTCATGAAGGCTGCTATCATTTCAGTTCTGATAATTGAGAGGCTGTGCTTTCAGGCTCTCCGCCTCCCCTTAACTCTTCAGGAGCGCCCCCTCCCTGTAATACTCCTAAGTGTATCGTGCCTCACTTACGGTTACTGCAACACATTTGATGGAACACACTGTCTCCTTTAAAAAAAAAAAAGAAAAAAGGAAAAAAAAAAGCCAGGTCCTTGTTCTTGCTGTATTTTGCTTGTTGAGTACAAAGATGAAGCGATTTGCCAAAAAGCGGCCAAGTTGCTTCCATTTCCCTGTAATTACGAAGGTTTGGTTGGGCGATGTATGCTGCAGCCCTTATGCACACTAACTCTTCAATCTAATTGTTTGATTAAACTCGTATTTCCTCCAGAAAGGTACATAAATAAGTGAACTGTTGGGCAAATTAAGAATACTTAACAGCATTGCATCCGAAAAGTAGTTATGCTGATTAAATTTTGTGTCCTTGAGGACTTTCAGGAAATTACTTTTGATCGTCAATAACACAATTAAGTAAACTACACACACATTAGCATGAATAATTGATAAGAAATTATGTATTACCACGAAGCACTGATTTAATAATTCATGACGCGACACTCCAGTGACTGTGCAAAACTGGATAACATTGAAAAGTCTGCCTGACGTTCTGGAAAGAAAGGAAAAAGAGTGAGAGCCAAACCTCTGCAGAGATATCTGAGCACTTAGTTCTAATGTACAAAGGGCAAAAAGTAACCGATGCATGATGTCGTTTCTGTTCGTTTAAACACCTGAATAAATTTAGACTTTAAAGACCTCCCTTGACTTCTCTTTTTCTTTCCTTGTCCCCATCCCTAAGATTCCAGGCTGGGTGGAGTCTGCACTCGCTAATACTCCATTTTGGCCAGCTTGCAAATGCAAGTGCTCTTGAAGCTTGCAGGAGGACTTGGAAGCCTCCGGCACAAAAACCTTTTAGCAGATGCTGGGGCAAGCTGGAGGCCTCTGTGCAAGCCAGAGCTCTCCCTTAGGTCTTCAGGGCTCAGGCCACCTGCCCCACCTTGTCCTCATCAGAGCCATCATTAGTGAAGTGCTCTTTGGGGCAGTTATAGTTGGAGCCCCGTGGGCTGTCCAGTCTGCAGAAATTCATAACACGACTATAAAAAGCCAGCCAGCCAGCTTTGGTCTGGGAAGGAGGTTCAGGCCCGAGGGATTGATGGATGATTGATTAATAACTATTATTAATTTATTAGTTGAAAAATTCCAAAGAACATGTCTTAATGCACTGTAGGTTATGGTAATAGAGCTTGGAAGCCATGATAGGGGCAGTGGCCAGCCTTGGTCAGGGTGATGGTCCTGGGAAGGAGAGCAACAGCTGGGCCACATGGAATCATGGTGGGTGACCTGGGCACAAGACGCCATGCCATTCCCAGGAGACTTCTTTCCTCCTTTAGCCTGCATTTTATTTAGGAATATCCAGTGCAGGAGCCTCTCAGCTGGGTAGGAAGAGCTTTGTTACACACCATTGTCCCATTGGCTGGGAATTCGACACCACAACACCCCACCCGCGAGGTAAGTACAGCTTGAGTACATCCCTATCTGCAAATCTGTAGTCCGAAATGTTCCCAAACCACTCCTCCTGAGTGCTGACATTACAGAAGTGGAAAATTCCATTCCATACTTCCTGCACAGAATCACTGAAGCAACTGTGTAAAGGCTACGTGAAGTGTTTATGAAACGCATTATGCTTATAAAAAAAATTTCCAATATCTGAAAATGTTGTAAATCTCAAATGCTTCTGGCCACAAACATCTGAGAGAGTCTATGTCTATTCCCATTTGATAGATATGAAAACTGTGGGCATCAAGCTTAGACAGATTCTCTAACGTGACAGTGCCTGGTGACATTCAGTAGAGGAACAGGAGCTCATTGCTGAGCACACAGAAATGCGTGCTGGTCCTGCTGCTAGCACAGGGCACCAGTGGCTTGAGAGGGAAGGTGAGTGGCAGAAGTTTAACAGATAGTAAGTAGGGCGACTTTGCTGCTTTACTTGCTGTCTATGGACTCTGGCCTGAAGGCTTGTGGGAAGGGAGGAGACCTCCCTGGGCTCAGCTTAGCAGAGCAGAGGCCAACCTGTTCCCTCTTGGTCTACCTCTTGGCCAGTACACTGGCCTTCTGGTGTGTGTGTGTGTCTATCTGGGGATTTCCAGCCCTGATGGCATGAGAACTCCTGGGCTCCTCAGATGATTCTTTCAGGGAGTTTACCACAAAACAGGCTGGAACTCAACCAATCTACATGATGAAACTTTCTGGCCTCACTAGAAAGTACAAAAGGCCAGCTCAGAGCCTTACTAAGGTACACATTTTGCATGTTTGAAATTCCAGCTCTTTTTGGCTGTGTGGCTCTGGCCAGTTGTCTAACCAATCTGTGCTTTAGTTCATATGTAACATGACAACAGGCTCGTGGAGTTCTTTGAAGGCGATGGTTGAATCCATTTCTAAATGGTACGTGGTATAGAGGAGGCACAGTGTGAAGGCTGGTTTTCTTCCCACCATGCCTTGTAGGTATTGGGGCTGGAAGACATTTTTTGGTTGGAAACCTCAGGTTCTCAAGAAGGAAGAGGGGGAAAGGGGACCAAAAAGCTCACCAGACTCCTTTCCCAGCAGAATTCATGGAAGGATAGGACTTCCAGAAGGAAGCTTATGACTAGGCTGGCACCTACCCTTCAGCACTCACAGGGCAGGAACAGTGCTCAGGAACAGTGAGGACACCCGAACAGTGAGGACACCCGAGTACAGCCTCTTAGTTTTGCATTAAGTGAAACCAGTAAGTCAAAAGGACACCAGATGACTTCAGACTCATCCTGGACTTCAGGGGGGCAGGTATCAAGAACCAGGCAGTTGTGGGGGGCGTCTCTCCTCTCCTTTCTGCTGCTCTCTGTTGCTCCCCCGCCTGCCCCACCCCACCCAGGCTGCACAGCCCTTTGGCTTTGCCCCTCATCAGACTCATTCACCTGGGCATTGATTGGTTCCTGGTGGTTTTGGAAGTTCACCCAGACTGTGTGGGGAGCAGAACTGATCACTCCAGTGAGCACCCAGCAGATGTGCTGGTTCAATGGAATGTGTCCTGTCAGGGCTGCCCAGGCTCCACTCTATCTGAGGGGAAGGCAGTTCCTAGGGATTTAGATAGAAAAAAGGAGTGTGCCTCTCAGGGCAGGCTGCATTAGAGGCAGGGGAAGACACAGATGTAGTGGAACTAGCTGCCACTAGGATGATACTTACGTTCCTTAAAGAGAGACTTCAGAGAACCATGTATAAAATGGCACTTAAGGGCTCTGGATAAAACTCAGAATGTTTGCTGTGTATTCAGGAAGCCCTGGGTTTGATTCCCAGTACCACATAAAAGTAGGCGTTGTCTTGCTTGCCTGGCCAGCTTCCAAGAGTTGTCAGCAAAAGATCAGGCCTTCAAGGTTGCCCTCTACTACACAGTTCAAGGCCAGCCTGAGCTATTTGAGCCCTCCCCTCCCACACCCTTTAAAAATAAAAAGTATAGCCTCAGACCGGGCTTTACTCTGTGGCGGCACAGGAAATCCACTTCCACAGACTTCAGCTTGGTATTTTTCAAGGCAAGACTTGACCACTGCAACAAATCCATACAGAAGCATGAAACTGCTCAGACCCAGGAGGCTCATGGCCTCTGTGGCCATGAAACAGGCAGCTGCTCCTATGAGCTGTTCTCGCTGCCCACCAATGTCCAGATGGCCCTCCCAGTGACAACAAAACTCTTGCACGGGAGGGTGGACCTAGGAAGCCACCGCATCACGAACAGCTGTTCAGTAGAAATAATGTGTGACATACTGAACCTGCATTTTCTCCATACTGAGCAGTGGTCCTTTTCTCGCTCCCAGCATAAGCTGCTCTCCCTGAAGAATCAGGCCCCCCAGCTCATTTCATCTTGACTCAGAGACACGGCTCTAGCTAGTCCTGGACTCCTCCACTGAAGTCCCCATAGACGTTAGCATCCCTACAGGACTGTGGCAGCTCGGAGCTGGGGAAGTAGGACAGGTCTGGGGACCTGAAGATTGACATTATTATCTGTGTGACTTTGAGCAGCTCAGCTCCTCTCCTATCCCTGTGGGGTGACTGTTGCAATCCTCATCTCCAGCATATGCAGTTGTGAGGAGTCAAGGAGGAAGGTGCAGGCCACTTTGGATTGGGTCTCAGGAGGACAAGGTCATTGGTGGCTTATGACTCTGTCTGAAACTGTCTCCTGCTGCTTCAGTGTGGCCCGATGAAGTGCAGCCTAGGACTGGAGCAGAGGCAAAGCCAGGAAGTGAATGGCCCGACTGTCCCTTGGGTTTTGCCTGACTTGCTAGCGCCCCCGCCCCCAGGTCGGGAGGGGCAAGGAGCCAGGCTAAGTGATCTCATAATGGCTGCATCTGTCAGCAAGGGCCAAATGATTTTTTTTTCCAGGAGTCAGTGAGCTAATGACTCTGCAGCAGGAGAGTGGGTGATCGCTTCTCCTAAGTGGGGCACTTTATCTACAAGAACGTTACAGCATCTTGGCCCCAGGCTGCTGTGAACAGCTGCCCTGCCCACAGCCTTGAATTAGCTCCCTGTTCCTATCAGCTTGTCCCACACCTGCTGCCAGGGGCCAGCCTGCAGGTGGCAGACAAGGTGGCTGGCTATTAGGGAGAAGTTAGGAAAAAGATGGCCTGAGCTCTCCCCGGGAATCAAGAATTCCACACCATCCCTTGTGTCTTTTGGCAAGTCCTTTGACCTTTCCAAGCCTCAGTTTTCACATCTGTGAGATGGATGCACTGAGCGGTCTCCTGGAGTGCATCTGGAGCTGTGCAAACCCTGTGCATGGAAACAGCGTGTCTACACACTGTGCTGTGGGTTCTATCTCCAAGGGTTACAAAAAAACTGCTACCTCTCCAATGATTGGAAGCACTAAAACAAAACAAAACAAAACAAAACAAAACCAACCCCTTTTTATTTCATAGTTTTTCGAACCTCAAGTATGAGGGCAAAGGACAAAGCACAAGTATTCTGGGGACTGAACTCAGGTCACCAGGTTTGGCAGTAGATGCCTTTACCTGCTGAGCTACCTCAGTGGACCAACATTTAACAGCTTTTTGGGTGAGCATGTGAAGAAACTGGATTCATTAAGGCATTTTTC